TTTTACATGTATGTTTGTGTATTTATATATACATAATAAATATACACAGTACACACACATATATTATGTAAACAAAAACGTTTATTTTGGATGTGATTAATCGTTGGACAACACTAATATAAATACATCAATATTTTTTTATATATACACCATGGTTTTAATATTTTAAATTTTTTCAGCATCCACTCAACATTTCAACAATAACCAAACATAACTGTTGAGTCTAACCATTGTATTCATAATTGTTTATGCAATCTTATTGTGATGACTTTTATTATGAATTTCATTTTTTATTATGATGGCTGAGCATCTGGCAGAACTCTCACTTTCCCTTATAATTCTTATAATTATTTTTCTCAGAGAGCCCATTTTGTCTCCACGCTAGTTATTGTGCCTATCAGAGCTTCTGTCACCCATCAGCAGAGACAAATAAAGCAGATCTGTCCTGAGGGTGATAAAGGGTAGAAAATATAAATATGTTGCATGCCCTTGCTCTCCAGGTAAGAGGTCAATTCAACAGAGACCAGCTAAGGGTCATCATCAACAGGGTTGGGGAGTAACTACTTACATGTAACGGAATTACGTAATTTAATTACAAAATAAAAGTAATTGTAATCAGTTACAGTTACTGAGAAAAAAAATTGTAATTAAATTACAGTTACTTATGAAAATGTTAAGGATTACAAAGGGGGTTACATCTGCTTTTATCACACACACTCCCACATACAGATTTAATTGATTTCTTTCATAAATTGCAGTGACTGCTCTAAAATATGAAACACCAATGTTTCAGGAGTTTAGAATATGCTTATTCGATAACTCTTTTATTTCCTATATGGGTTTATGTATATGTGTTTACTGTCATAGCTATGTAAAGATTTGATTTAATAAACGGTATCATAGCTAATAAAATATTTATTGTTATGATTTTAAATATGTATTTAACCTCAGAATGATATCAAAGTAAGTCTGATTTTGTGGTGGCTGTGCTTCAAAGGGGACATTGATCTTCCACAAGTTGGTATGATTCTTTAGGGTCTTCATGAACGGTCTGCAA